CTAGCCAGACCATATCACACTAGCTGAGGATGAACCAGACCCTTAGCGGACAATCCAAAACACCTGGCCTGTGGCCTGGCACCTTGGCCTTAGAGGGCCCGCAAAGACCACCCAGTCCCAACTGCCCACACCTGACATGGCCCAAACTCCCCTTCCCCTCCCCGAAATCTGCCTGGAGAGCCCCAGAAAATGACCAAGCCCTGTGGCTCAGGCCAAGATCCCAGGATCCTTCTTGCCTTGTCTCTCTCTCAGACTCCGAGTTGATCCATGGATATAACTTTCAAAACACGCTTGGAATCTGGCCACTGCTCACATCTCCACGGGCACCCCATGGAAGCTGAGCCGGATCCATCCGTCCTCTGCTCAGGGCTCTGGTCCAGCCACACTGGCCTCCTCACATTTTCTCACATACACCCAGCTCTAGAGTCCCCCGCCTGTTAGGCTGTTCCCTCCTCCTGGAACCGCTCCCCCTAGAGCCTCCCAGGGTTGGTTCTTCCTTATTATTCATGATGAGCCTAAACACCACCCCAGAGGTCCTCTGACCATGAGCGGAAGGCAAGGGCTGGGCTATCAGTCTCCTCCGACCCTGGGCACACGGCCATCTGTCACCAGTGTCTGGGCCACTGGATACTGCTAATCTCTGTTCATGGCATTGTGGGCAGAGCCCCAAGGCATGGCAGGGTTGGGCCCAGGCTCTTCTCTGGGTTGGGTTCTGTGAGCTGCCAAGAACTGGAAGCCTCTGATTAGCAAAGGGGGTCAGTATTCACCACTCTTAAGGGCCACAGAACAAGCCTAATGCAGAGAGGGGTCCTGAGTTCTAGTCCCAGCTCTTCCAGGTGACCTCAGACCAGTTGCAACACCTTATGCCCAAGACCTCACTTGTCCTGGGACAACTGCTACTTCCCTCTTGGGCCTAAGAATCACGTGGAGATCACAAACTAAGCTAGTTTTGAGAAAAGTTAAAGTGATTAGGGGAATGGGACCCTTCCCTGGGTCTCTCCCCCAGTATCTCCACCAGCCCTGGCCCCAGAGTCAAAAGCCCTAGGAAGTTACTAGAGGAGATGGTCACCAAGAAATCATCTTTCCTGACAGGTGGGGAAGAGGAGCAGGGGTTCTGAGTAGGAGACATGGGTCTTTGCAGAGAGTGATGACTGCCGCCATCTCCGCTCTGCCCTCACCAGCCCTGGGAGGAGGGCAAGTGGATCAAAGTGCCCTTTGTGCGGATGAGGAGAGTGTGGCAGGGGCAAAGCCAGCACCAGGCCTTCTGCTTCCTCTGAGAGCTGAGGTAGCCGACTGGGGACAAGTGGGTGCAGGAGCAGGGGGCAGGCCCCCAGAAGCGCCCAGTTGGTGTTTTGGGTGTCTTCATGTGCATAGCCTGGTTGGGGAGGGGCCACACATTGGTGGCTCAGAGGTAGGTTAGGCAGAGGGGACTGCAGCCTGGGAAAGCTTAAGGGGCTCAGCCAGGATGCACATGAGTGTAGACCCTAGGGATTACCTAGGAGAGTCCAACCACAGTCCCAGTCAGTCCCCTTGCCACAGCTGGCATCCCCCCACCCACTCTGCTCAGGGACAGGGCTCTAGATGGCCGTCATAGGATGCTATGGGGGAATGGGGGCTCTCTGAGGGCAGCAGCATGGGCTCATGCAGGGGCCTCATACCCAGGGATATGAATGCCACAAGCCCTGCTGCTGCGCTTTCAGCCTTGCTGCCTCTGGCGGTGCTGAGGGAGGCCAGAGGTAGCTGCTGACTCTCTGGGGCCTCAGTCCTCCCATATGTAAAATGGGGGTTGGGGAGGATGTGGAAAGCACCAGGATTCTAGGACCCCCAAATGACTCTTCCTGAAGCAAATGAGACACTCAGCCCTGGCTTAGAGGGGAGATGGAAGGCCAAAACTGGGGCTACCTAGGGGTGGCGGCTCAATTTTGGCTTAGGTGCCTACTGGCTGTGTGCCCTGTTTCTCCACCTATGAAATGGTGATATACAAATTAGCATTTCAGAACCTGGATTTGGAGGTCAGACAAGCCTGAGTTTTGTCATTCTCACACATCCTATGTCAGCAAGACCTATCCAGGCTTTCTTCAACATCTGTCTAGGGGCTAGCCATTCCTCTCCACCTCTGCTCACACTGCCTGGACTAGTGCAGTAGCTATCCCTGTTGTCTTGCCTCACACAGTCTGTTTCCCTCAGACCAGCCAGAGCCTAGAACATCCCATCCATTCTCTGCTCAGGACCCTGCCATGCACCCAACTCACTCGGAGTTAAAGCCAAGTCCTCACAATGGCCTCCAAGGCCCCTGTACCATCTGCCCCCATGACCTCCTGATATCATCTGCTATGATGCTGCTTTCTACATTACTCCAATCCCTGCTGCTCTTAATGTTCACCAGGCACCATAGGGCCTCTATACTTGCTGCTGCTTCCACGTGGAATACTTTTCCCACTAGCTGCCTTCCTTACTTAAATGCCACCTTCTCAGAGAGGCCCTCCTGGACACTTGATTCTAAACAGCAGCCCTTTCCTGACATGCCTTTCCTGCCCTGCCTTATTTCTCACCAGGCCCTTGTTTTCTAGGACACCTCATACTTGATTTATTGTCCGTCACCCTCCAGACTGTCAGTCCCACGAGTCCTCAGTATCTAGAACAGTGCTTGGCACACAGCAGATGCTCAAAAAGGACCTATGGAATGAATCTTAGCTGTTCAGCCTCCAAGGTGCAAGACCTTGGGTGAGTCCATTACTTGTTCATGCCTCAGTCTTCTCATCTATAAAATGGAAGAGCAGTTTCCCCTCACCGCACCCAGCAGTGCTATGAGGATAAGGTGTGACTCTAAAGGCACAGGGCCTGCTTGGAACACAACAAAAACTTAATACAGCTGCTCAAACCTCTTCCTTTACCCAGGACCAGAGCTTGCTGGAACTTCACCAGCCCAGCTTTGCTATGGGGATGGCTTGGGCTTCAGGAGCCCCACAGGCCACTTTACCCCTTAGCCTCAGTGTTTATACCTCTCAATGGGCATGATGAATTGGCTGTCAAGGATGGCCTTGCAGTTCAGAAGACACTATGACAGGCTGTTCCCCTCCCCAGCTGAGGCAGGGTGAGGCCCAGACACAGATTATCTCTTCCCCCTCCCCCAATATGTACACCTAGACTGGGCCAGCTTGGGCTGCACAGCCCCCCAAGTCCAGGTTGGGGAGGGGCTGGCAGCCTTGCACTGCTCCCTGGACTTGGCTAGGAGATCCCTGATCCATTTTATAGTTTAGCCATATGGGTAGTAGGTTCCAGAAGTGGGCAAGTTAGAAATGTGGCTGGGCACCTCCAGCCCTGACAATAATCAGCTTAGAGAGATGTCTTTTGGCTAGACTCATTTGGGAGAGAAAGAAGGGAAACCTCGAATGTCTCCTTCTCTGTGACTGCCTGAGCCACCAAAGGAAGCAGAGACTTCTCTGGAGCCTCAGAAAAACCACGGGCCTCTCCCCACAAGAGTGGCCAAGGCACTTGAGTGTCGCAGCCAGCTCGGCCACAGTTGGCACCATGGTGGTGGAAGGACTTGCTTCCATGTGGAAAGAACACAGTGTCTGAGTTCTGGCTCTGGCACTTCATGATGCTGGGCAAGTCACCCCTGCAATGTGGTCTTGAGCCTCTGTTTACTCATCTGTAAGGTGGGGTGGTGATCCCCACATCATAGGATATTGTAACACCGATGGGCTAGGGCCTGGCTCAATGCCCTGCACAGCCCAACAGGTGTCTGAGAAATGCCCATGCCCCAGGCCTTGGGCCCTCCTGATTGTGTCCAAGTGCAGACTGGAGGAACCAAGTTCCAGGAGTCAGACCAGGCAGGACTCTATCCCAGTTCTGCCTCAATTCACTGTCTGACATCAGGCAAGCCTCTTCCTATTCTGGACCCCTGCCGTCCCTTCTCAGAAATGGACACAGTGGCCTCTAAGGGTCTTCCCAGTTTGGCCACTGCCACAGGGAGCCCAGCTGGGAAGGAAGAAAAAATTAATACTGAAGGGGTGGGATGCAAGGAATTCATGGTTCTTAATTTTATAATTCTATTTTCTATCTTCCAGACCTCTTAGGAGGAGGGGTGTAGGCTAGTGAGTGGAAGAACCTTTCTTTACAGGGAATCAAGACTTGACTTCGCTTTTAAAAACAATGGTTTAAAAAATAATGATCAGTACATGTTTATTAGCACTTCCTATGTGCCGCAGGAGCTGTTCTAAGCCTTTACTCTTATTACAGCATTTCATCCTTACAACCAGCCCAGAGGTGTACGCTGCTGTTATTCCTGTAGTAGGGATGGAGAAACTGGTGCACACAGAGATGAGGCAATTTGGTCAAAGTCTCAGAGCCGCTGGGGTAGGACGATAACACTATACCCCTCCACACACACCCTCGCCGGGAGAAGCCCCTCTCTCCATCAGTCCCAAGTCTGCCCAAAGGATTCTGCACTGCCGCTTCAGTGCAGAAAAGCTAAGGTTCCCAAGGGCAGCAGGACGCCATTTAACACCAGGGGAAGGGGTAGGTCATGGCTGACCCGCTCTCAGGCTCTCTCAAACGGCAGCCGTCAGCGGCTGTCTAACACGAGAAAACAGCCGGGGCTAAGCAGGTGCGTGTCCCCAGTGGTTAAGGTAGGGAGCTGGCGGTAGGGGGCCAGAGCTTCTTCGCTTCTGCCTCCGCCCTGCCCGGGGTCCTGCTGCCCGCCCTCCCAGGATGTCCCACGTGGGCCCGCCCCTCCGCGGCCCGTGAGTCGGCCGCGCCCCCACCTGGCTGGCGAGCTCAGCCCCCTGCCCGCGCCAGGAGTGCTGGGCCAAACCACTGCCATCCGAGGCCACCTCGCAGCGCGCGCTTGCGACGCTCCTCCCGGGCTGAGGGCCAGGGGGGCGCGCGCCCCAGCTAGGGGGCGGCCTCGGCGGGCCCCGCTCGCTGGAAGACAAAAGGCGGGGGAGGGCCGGTCACCGCGTTACCATTGAGCCGGACAGTGAACTGGCGGCGCCGACGGTCGTGCTCCACGCGGATAGGGCAGCCCTGCTCCAGCGCGCCCACCGGCACGGCGGCCGTCGAGTGCGCCATCTGCGCGCGGGGAGGAGGCCGCTTGGACCCCGGGCTAACGCCGACGCGGC